AACAGGAGTCGAAGCCTGGACAGTATTCGGAATATTTAAAAAATCTTCAATTTCTTCATCGATGATCGATATAGCACTTAATGTGTTTTTGGTTTGTTCCAAAGAGATTAAAGCTGATATCTTTTGTTTGTACAAATCGTCTTTTGATTTTTGTTCTTCATAATCATCGGGGGAAGCAGCTAAGCATTTTTCACTGATTATGTCGTATTCTCTTTGCAGATTAATCAGATCTTCTAACGAAAGACTTATAGTCTGATTACATGCTTTCGAGATTTTTATACGAATTATTTTACGACGAGAAACGTCTGATTGAATGCTAGACATAGTTATAACGATAAAGACAAAATGATGACGACTATACGATAGTGATACGGGTGATAAAAATATGTACGATTGAAACGAAAACCAAAAAGATGTTGAAATGAAAAGAACTTCAAACGATAAGACGAGAATCCAATTCTGAACGATAATTAACCAAAAATAAACGAAGATGTGACGAAGAATACGAGATTAAACGAAGATGAATAAAACGAAAACGAAAATATTTTAACCTCAAAAAAGAAAAATGTGCATACACGAAAGAAACGTTACAAACAGAAACAGAGGTTTTACAATGCTTGTTTTATTTAGACAAAAAACATTCGCTTTTATAGCAAATTTCAGAGATTGTTCGATAACGAACAATATGAAAAATCGAATACATCGAACTGTTCATATTTACTTAGTTCGAACTTCGAATTAAAAAAGACCGTAATTCAACAATTTTTTTTAATGATAATTGAAAATGTAAAATATGAAAATATAATAATGATGATGGTGATAATTAAATCATTATCATATTGATGAAAAAACATTATCATTATAATAATGGAATATTCAACGTATTGATAATCAAAAAAAAAAAAAAAAAAAAAATCAATATTTGTATTGGAAAACACCTACACTTGTTGTGGTTATTCAAAACAAAATTCAGTTTCTTTTCTTGTTTTTTTTTTTGTTAAAGATTTTTTTCATCATTGAATTTCTGCATAAGGAAATAACAAAAGAATAATATAACAGGAACAACAGAAAGATTCAAATTCTTTAAAAAAATCTTTGAATTTTTGTTTTTGATGAATGAATTTTCATTTTTTTTCATTGAAATTTTACAATATCAATATCAATAATAAAAAAAATCATGCGATCAAATTTTCCTTCTTCATTATATAATCATCACAATAAAGATGTTTTTTCGTCGTCGTCAACATTTGTTTTTTCTTCTGTTTATTTCGTAAGTAGGAGGTTTGCTTTAGGGAAAAACATTGATAAAAACAAGGGTTAAAATGAAAAGAAAAAGAAGAAAACATAAATTCAAATAAGAAATATCATTTACAATAATAATTCCAGGGAAAAAAATAAGATTTCTGATTTCTGATTTTCAGATGAAAATAAAAAAAAACCGGAAAAAACATTGAATTCAATGGAAAATAAATGTTTCAATGGGAAAAAACCCCAAATCAATGCATTGAAAATGATGAAAATATACTTTAGAAATGCGAAGTTTGATACAATATTTTTAATTTTTTAAAAAATGATAATGTTTCAAAACCAAGAAAAAATGATAATAATATGAATGAATGAAATCAATCGAATAAAACGTATTCCGAAATGTTTTCCATCCACGAATTTTCAGAATCGAATTTTTTATTCAATCCCCTTCGCGTATCCTATCCCCTCCTTCAATATATTCATTTTCATTATAATTATTTCGTATCACAATTATTCAGAAACAAATTTTATTTTATTTATTCAAAATATCTAGGCCACAAACAAATTAGGAGAAAAAAAAATTAAACATAAACATAAATTGAATTATTCATAAGAAGAGAGAGAAAGAGAGTGAAAAAGAGTGTTCAACAAAATTGGTCATTCAAGTTTCAGATGTTCAAACAAATTCAAATTGTTATTATTAGTTTAAATGTTTGAAAAGTGTACAAGTATAATAATAATAATTTACTAGAATAATAAGATGAAAAGATTCTATAGAAAACATATATTCAGATTCTTTCTGAAGAATATATTTTGAGCCTTGTAGTTTTGTTTTTCTTTTGATAATTGAATTCGATTTCATATGATTATTATGATGATGATGATTGACAGCGAAGGATTTTTTGTTTTGTTTTGTTTGTTTCGATAATTCATTATTCAAATCAAATCAATTTTTGATTGAAATAATGATGGCAAACAAACAAACAACAACAAAATAAAAAAAAATTGAATAAAATTTTTGATTTTGTCGTTGTTGTTGTCAATTTCTGTGAATAAGAAGAAGAAGAAAAAAACAATATTTACAAGGAATCTGTCACACAATGAAGGTAAAAAAGAAAGGGTGAAAGAAAAGAATATATGGACAAAATGATAGAAAAAGATTAAAATTTGATCATCAAAATGAATGTTTTTATTCTGCTCTCCCTACTATATTCATTGATGATGATTATTATTATTTAAAAAAAAACCTACAGAATGTGACATGTCAATGTCATGTCAAATTCTTCGTTGTTGTTGTTGTTGCTGTTTTATTCTATCCTATTCAGTTATTTATTATATTATTTTTGCTCAAATATATAAGGTTTACTGAATGAGTGTTTCTTTTGTTACAAGTTTAATTGATGTGTTTATGTGTGTGTGTGTGCGTTACATAATATATAATGGTGAAAATAGTTTTTGAGCCTATTTTTTTCCCACTATTCGGTTGTTTGTTTCCAAGAAACCATATGGTTACCAAGAATATATTGAGAGAATATATTGATTGGCTTTCTTTCTCTCACTTTCACTCTCACTCTCACTCACTCTCATGGCTCAAAGACATGTTAAATTTGCTAAGATTCTTGTTATGTACAATGTATTTATATATATTCTTTTTGATGTTAAGAATAACGATGGAATTTTTCTTTTCTTTTCTTTTGACTTTGAAAAATGTTTGAAAATAACAACAACAACAACAACAACAACAATATGGTCATGCTGAATGATGAAGATGATTTTTGATGATGGAATAAAAGTTTTTTTATGTAAATATATAATATTGAGCAAATGAAAAAAAAAAATAAAATTAAAGATAGGAAGAGGAGATGAGAGCATTATTTTTGATGTTCAATTGACTGAATTTAGAAAACATTCATGATATGTATTGGCTGTATTATTATTATTTGGATGATTGGAATGATGATGATGATGATGGTTGCCGGCGTTACCATGAACATTCGATGGCATGAACATCATTGAAATTTGATTACCATCATCAACATCGGTATTTTGGCCCATTTTTGTACCATTCGTTATTGAATAAGAGGATGATGATGATGATGATATTTGTCCGGTCAAACCACTACAATTTATATTGTTGTTGTCGTTGTTATTATTGGCCGCTAAAAATGATGATGTTGTTGTTGTTGTTGTGGGCAATGATTGTAGATTTGCTGATGTAGGCATATAACAAATATTTGATCCTTCAATAGTCAAATTATTTCCCATTTTCAATTGTATATTATGTTCATTATTGATAACGTTTGCAATTGCCATTATTTCATCATCATTATTATTTTGATTATTATGATTACAATGTGACTTATTATTATTATGATGATGAAAACTGATAATATTATCATTGAATAATGTATCATTATCATTTGTAGTACCAAGTTTTAGATCCATAAATAATGGAAATGAATGCATCACGCGATAAATACGTACAAACAATTGATTAATATCTTCGGCCAATAAACGCATTTCATCAATCAATGACATTAATATTTGGAATGAATTTTTTGCATCATCATTACCATGACCATATTTAATCTGTAAATAACGTCGTAATAGACATATGTAACGAGAATATTCTTCCCTTTAAATGGTTATATGTGAGAGAAAAAAAAATAAAGAAGAAAAAAAACCGAATAAATTTATTTGAATAAAAAAAAAATTTGTTCTGTAATCATTATCATGCCTGTCAAACACATACTTGATTTTTTCATTTTGCTGTTGATTTAATCTTGGTGTAAACAATATGATTGCCGTCAACTACATATAAGAGCAAACAAAAAAACCGAATAATGAAAAAAAATGAGTAAGATAAGAATGAAAGAATGAAAAATGATAGCTCTATAGAATAGCCTTACCAAATCAAATATAATATTATCATTTTTCCATTCATGTTTAAATTTGGCCGGGAAATTTTTATGCTGTTCAAAATCATATTTAATACAACATGGTCGTATTATTTCATAATCGACCATAATCGATACTTTACATTTGTCCTGTGTTATGAAAACCCAATGAATGAATGAATCATAGAGAAATAAAAAAAAATGAGAAATAAGAAATTATTATAATAATTATATGGCAATTAAATTCCAATCAATTAATTTTTTTTTTGGTTGCAAGATCAATCAATCAAATAGAATATATTATCATTAAACTGTCACCAAGATGATGATCATCAAATAATAATAATAATAACAATGTAATTACATTGAAAAATAAAACAAAATCATTATTATTATCATATTTCCAATTATTATTATTTTGGTTTTTTAACGACCATCATTATAATGATAATAATAATAATGATATTAAAAAAATTACTTACATCAAGAAAACAATATGCTTCACGATCTGGATCATATAATAATACCGAACGTATAACAAGCATATCAATTATATTATGCTGTAATAGATCAATCTGATCGCCAAGTATTAGATTAGCAAATGAACCAAGACGTTTTGACATACGTATTAAACGATGGATAAAAAATTCAGCAATACCACAATCATGTGGCATATGACATGGATATTTTGGATTTTTTGTCAATAATGAACTATATTGTATACGTTTATATGGATTTTTTAATAATAAACAAGCTGATGTTAATTCTTGTATTAGATATAATTCTGGTATATATAATTCATCATCAGATAATGATATTTGTCGTAATAATGGTAATGATGATGATGATGATGATGGCTGTGATTGTTTTAGTTGTTTATTCATTGATGATTTTTTTGATGAAGAAGAAGGTATTGCGGGTGGCGGCGGTGGTGGTGGTGGCATTAATTCTGTTGCCGGATCATAATCATAAAGAAAATTCTTTTCAATCATTTCATCATCACCATCAATAACATCAGTTAGATAATTTCGTAGATAATTATTATTATTATTAATATTTTCTTTATAATTATAATTATTATTATCATTTTCATCATTGATTGATACCATCATTGTATCCATATTATTATTATTATTATTAGATTCTGTCATACAATCATTAAACGGTAATGATTCTATACAACAATAATCATTTGATGATAACATCATTGTATTTGAATTTAAATGTTGTCCTTGCAATCTAATCTGTCTTCGTCGTTGTTGTTGTTGTTGTTGTTTTTGTTGAAATGTCAATGGTGGATCATTATCATGTAGTAAATATTGGCTAAAATCTTCAACATTATTTTCATTACAACATGATGATGATGATGATGTTGATGATAGTTTGACGGTTCTATCAACAACAATACCATCAACACAATCAACTTCTTCATTATTATTATTATTATGATGAGTGACATTAACATTATCATTATTATTAACATCATTAACATTATTGATTTTATCATTTTCATCAAGTTTTTTTGTTGCCCGTTCTATTTGAATATCATTATCATCATCCATATTATTATGATTTGTTTTTGAAAAATTTTCAGATAGAAATGTTTTTGTTTTATTTGTTTCTGGAGAAAGTGAAGAAGATGATGAGAATTTAATTCCATCATCATCAATGTTTTGAAGTGTAGAAAATTCATCCGAAATCAATTCATTTAATATTAAAGTTTTTGTTGGTGGTGGCGTTGGTGATAGATTTGCATCATTATCAATAATCGAACATTCCATATTATCAAGATTATCATTGAATTTGGCCATATTATTATTAGCTTTAGTTATATAATCTGTTTTTTTCATAACTGTCGTTGGTGTTGTCATCATTAATTTTGAAGTGTCATTTCCGTCAATAGTGTTGTTGGTCGATTGTTGATTTTCATTATTAATGTTGTTGTTGTTGTCGTTTGTCGCCGCAGCCGCCGTATTGTTATTATTATTATTATTGACAGTAGTGGCTATTGTTTGGTGATCATTGGTCATCATCATTGAATCAAATGAAAAATTATCCACTATTTCATTGTCAAAAAAATCAATCGAATCAATACTGTTTGAGAATAAAAAACAACAATCACTTAAGCTTGATGATATTGATGATGATTGAAAACGAAGATTATCAACATCAATATCATCGATAGTTGTTGCTGCTGTGGCTGCTATGGCTGTTTTTGTTAATAAATTTTGATCACAATCATAATCTTCATCATTATTATTATGACTTTTTCGTCGATTTTTTTGCTGTTGATAATGTTGATGATGATTATGATAATTCATATTCACATGAGACAATAAAGTAGAATTATTCATTCCATAATCGTTATTAATATTATCAAATAATGATGGATATGAATTTGGTGAATAAATAAATGATTGATGATGATTATTGTGGCCAAAATGGTTATCATTTATCATTATTGGTTGTTGTTGTTGTGATTTTTTCGATGATAATATATGAAAATTATTCTTTTCATTATTATATGAAGAATAAATATGATTTTGTTGATTATCATATCCAATATTATTCTGATTATTATTATTACCATCAATACAAGAATCAAAAAATACATCCGATTCATCGGCTGTTAATAATGTATCTAAACTATATGCATGTGGTTCAGTAAACATACGACATACATCGGGTGATAATGATGATGATGATGATGATTCACGTGATGATGATATTGGTGATGAATATTTCATTGTTGCTGTTGTTGATAATGATGATGATGATGATGATGAAGATGATAATGATGATGATGATTCTAGAATCGATCCATATATATCAACATTACGATTATTATTACAATGATGATGATGATGATGATGATGACTATCAGTTACTATTTGATTAAAAATTGCTGAAACATCACCACCACCACCATTATTATCATTATTATGGCCCGAATAATGATTGAATTTGTTGGAATTTTTTTGATTATTCAATTGTTGACAATTATCGATCGATATATTCTTATTATTATTATCAACAACAACAACAACATTGGTATTATCTTCTTTTTTTATTAAGCCATTACGACGGCGACGATTACCATTTGTTGTTGTTGGTGTTGTCATCGTTTTCTTATTCATCGATACATAATGATGATCCACACTGTTATTATTATTATCTTTTTGTTGTTTTCGTTCCAATTCCAATTGTTGTTTACGAATTTTATTCTGCATAATTTTCTCTTTAATCAATCGTTTTTCTTCATCGCTCAATATCCATTCCTAAGAAAGAACATAAGAGTGAAAAAAATAATAGTGAAATGAGATGAGAAGGAACAAAAAATCGATTCCGAAATAAAATTTCCGAATGAAATTCAAACCAATTCTTATTATTATCATTTTTTTCCAAGAAGAAGAAAAAAAAATCGATTTGAAAACATAAAAACGAATATTTTTTGCACAGCGATCAATGACGATGATGTGTTTTTTTTTCATTAAAAAATGTCTAAAAAGTGATAAATTCGCCTAAATGAATGATGAAATCGATCTATGATAATTAATAATATTTTTTGTTTCTTTTGGTTAGAATCACGTTTGTATCATCCGCATCTGAAATGAATCTGAATAATGATAAAATGAAACGAAACGAAAAACTTTAATCAAATCAACAGCAAGGTGTTATTTTTTCAAAAAAAAGGGCAAATATATTTTTCTTGAAAGAATTCCAAGAGTTGATGCAATGATTCATTATTATCAATGAAAAAAAAACAAAACAAAACAAACATTGCATTTTGCTACACCATGTTGTAAACACATTCAGATGATGATGATGATGATAAATTAATCATTTACTCGGAATAATGTGTTATGAATGAACCGAACAAACTACAGTCCAGAAAAAACACCAACACACAGATTTGATCAATAACAACAAAAAAAGAAAAAATCTTTTGTAGAATAATATATGGATTGGTGGAAAACACTTTTTTTCGTTTTGATAAACAATAAAAAATAGAAAAAACAAGATTAATGACTTTGGTATCGAAAAAAATTCGGACATCAAACCAAAAACAAAACAAAACATGATTGAATATCCGATATATTTTCCTATTTATTTATTTAGGATAAATACCGACCTACAGCAGTGACTTTAAGCCAAGTGAATAGAAACGAAAAAGAAATTATCGAAAAGAGATCAGAGAAAATTTTATGTTTTTTCCGATAACCAAAACCATAACCTAAACTTGTCATGAAGCAGCTGCTGCTGTTGTTGTTTCATTTAATTTGAAACCTTTTTAGAACCTCATTTGTTGTTATCTTAGTAAATTCTGTTTGTTTCACTATAAAGATTATCTCAACAAACCAATCAATTATTGTTTTCCCTTCGCAACAAATCAAAAGAAGAAGAAAAATATAGTAGACTCGCCATTACAATATTCATTTAACCACGCAGCCGTTACCTACTTTTTAAATGGATTGGAATTTATTCATTTCATACAAAATTTTGTTGGATCATAAATTGATTTCATAAAAAACAAAACAAAAACGAAAAATTGATCGGATAATTTCATTTTTTTCACAGTAAGTTCATGGTCATATTATGGCAATTTTTTTATTTGTTTGCCTATTTATTATTACATAATATCCTCACTAATATTCTCATTTCTTACTATATAAAGATTTATGTATATGACATTCTTATCATCATCATCCGGTAAGAATTTGTATGAAAAAACACACAAGATTCAAAGATATTTTTGTGTAAGAATTATACAAGTTTCAAGTGTTATTATTTATATTTGAAAGAAGGCAAGAATTTTTTTTTGTTTCTACTTACTTTTTTCATACCACTTTCGAAACATTTTTTCAATCGACATTTTGAACAAAATTTTCTAGTTATCTTATCAATTTGACAGGTATCATTGAATGGACATTTCATATCCTATTTTGATGTTCGTAATATAGCAAAGAATCGGGTTTTTCCAATTGTTTTTTTTTCGGTGTACATTTTGATCACATAAGTACAAACACACACAGACAGAGACACAAAATGACAACCACCCCCGCAAATTATATATTTGTTGTTGAATGAAAGAAAGTGGAAATGGGGATTCCAGCCAAATAATGACAGCCAAAATAATAATACCAAGAAAAAATAAGAAACGGATTAAGTGAGAAATACAACAAGAGAGAGAGAGAGAGAGAGAGAGAGAGAGAGAGAAAATAAATCGATTATTAGAATGAAGAAGAACATGGATTAATTTTTTTTTATATATAATATTCGAAAATCATCTCAAAAAATAGAAGAAAATTAATTACTTTTTTACGTAATGCATTACGTCGAAAAAATGCCTTACACGACATACAAGTCAATACATTGAAATTGATACCTATATAGTGGTGGTGGTGGTGGTGGTGGAAAACAAAAACAAAAAACGATGGAATTTAGAAAAAAAAATCAAGGAAATTCAAAATTTTTCAATATGGAATTGGGAAAATACACACTTACCTTTAGCTTTATCATCACAAATTACACATAATTTAATTGTTTTATCCACTTTTCTGGCCATTATTGCTTATTCAATGATGTTGATCCTGGAAAATGATTTTTTCACGTATTTTGTTTGTTTTTTTCTGTTGAAAACTAGTAAAAAACAAAAACAGAAAAAAAGGAAGACAACGGTGAATTGAAATTTTGAAACAAACAGAAAAAAAGATTGATGTTTGCTAGGTTTTGTTGTTGTTGTTGAATGTGAACTGTGTCATGATTGATGATCAGAAAAATCAAATCAAATCAAATCGAAGCAAAAATCAATTTCAATTTCATATCGATAATCAATCAATTAATATTGATATCAAATATATTATTCGTATGAATTTTTTTTTAATATTCACCCTATACATTCGTCTATCATTCGGATATATAACATCTTTACCATCATCATTATTAACTTTGAACAAAGGGGACAAAACATTTGTATTTGTAACAAAAATTTGTTTGTTTTTTGAGTTGCATTTGATTGATTGATAGATCAATGTCAATCAAAAAAAAAAAAAAATTACACTTACACGATGCTAATCAATCGATTGATAGATTTATCGATTGATTAATTAAATATTCAAGCTCGTGACAAACGAAAAAAAAAGATTAAATAATTTTGAGTGTAGGTGATGATTGATGAGAACCAAAAAAAAAAGTGGTAATTCAAATCAAATCTATTCTAATTGATGATTAGATTGGCATATTTGTTTCGAGAATTTTTTTTCAGTATGATTATTTCTAGTCTATTAGATGTTTCTACTTACCATCAATCAATGATAATTAGTTAATTTGTTATCAATGAATTTTATTCAAGTAAAATCTAAGCAAATTGAAGAAATTGGAAAGGAAAAAAAAAACAATTATTATGTAAATATTGTCGAATTGAAGCGAAAAACTTTTTTCCCGAATAAATTACTAAGAATTTTTTCGGGTAATTGGTTTTTTTTATTCTGGTTTTTTCACACACACACACAGCAAACAGCCAACCGAATAAACTGAATGAATATTGTCAAATCTTATTTTCAAAACAACAAATAATAAAACTCACACAAATATCACCAAAAAAAAACTTTCTGGCCATTATCAAATTTCCAAAAAAAAAAAAAAATTTAATTTCAAATTTTTTTCTTTTCTTCGGGTTTGTTTGTTTGTTTGTTCACAGAAAAGTTTTCATATATGATGATAATTTTTTGGCTAAGATTGAACAGAAAAATGAACTTAAACCAAACTTAATGATAAGGGAAAAAAAGGACATTTTTTTTCTTCTTATTTAAATTTCCAGTTGTATTCAAAACATGCGAACTCAATTTTTGTTTGTTAAGATATTTATCAATATCAAACAGACGCATGAAAGTATGCAACAAAAATGAAATTAGAAAATTGATAAACAGAATAAATATTTAAAGGAGAAGTGAAATTTTATTCAGATTTTGTACAAAGGAAAATTATCAAGCAATCGATTGATTGATTGATTGATTAATCAAATCGAATCGATTTAATCAATTTTAACTGGAGGATACAAGAAATACAGAAAAATTGGACAACAAAATCATCCATTGATCAGAAATCAGAAAAAAAATCGAACGATTTTTGTAGTTGTTCGCCCCTCTACCTCCCTTGCACACACCCCCAATGATCAACAATTACACCCCATAAATCTGTTATTACTTACTGAATTTTGATCTCAATCAAGACCCCCCTTGAATCAATGGTTCCATGTGAAACAAAAAAAAATTTTTCGGGTTAAAATTGCATCAATAAAGAGGAGAAAATGAAATGAAGAATTTTCAAACGATGAAAATTGAAACGTCAAAATTAAAAAAAAGTGAAAAATTAGTCAAAAAATTAAGCAGTAAACAACAACAACAACAACAACTCGGGGTAGAAAAAATAAATAAAAAACGACAACGATTATAATGAAGACCGACATATACACAGATCAGTCATATACATTTTTTTACCAAAAAAAAAATCAAATTGAATATAACCATTAACCATAATAACTATACTACCATAAAACAGAAAAAGAAAGAAAGAAAAAAATAAATAAATTCAATCAACGTCAATTGAAGATGTTGTTGTTGTTGTTGATGAAAATATATAAATCGTGGCCTGTTGTTGTAGGAGGATTTCCTATATCATCATCATCATCACCAATGTTTGGTTGGCTTTACCCAAAAGTGTATAATACATATCGATTGTTGTTGATAATCGTGACGACGACGACGACAAAAAAGATATTTATGAAAATAATATCATCAAATTACAAGAGACCCCATTTTTGTGTTTTGAAGCAAGCAAGCAAAAAAATCAATATTTTTTCTGTTTCCATTACCTAATCAATCAAAATCCATTTCTTTTCTGATTGTGATTATTATTATTTTGTTTCGATAAAAAATATTTCTGGAATCCATTCAACAATGATTGTTGATAATGATGATAAGATTTAATCAATTATCACATGCGTGTGATAAAATATAATTTTCGTTTGTCAATTAAGATCTAAATCTATGGATTTTTCTTTTTTTCTTTTGCGCAAAAGAAAAGAAAGGCTATATTCACAATGATAATCTAACATTGATCTAATCATTGTATTTTTCAATGATGAGAATTTTTAAATCAATCGATTTAAGATCAATTAAAGATAAAACCTGTTGTTGTTGTTGTATTTCATCTTGTTCATTTATCATTAAATTGTCATTGAGAAAAAAAGATGTTCATCAAACATCCTTTTCGAGATTAGAATCGATAGTAGAAAATTTTTTTTCAAATTTTTCAAACATCATTATTAAACAGGGATTATTTATCATTTGTTATCATTAACATGATGAGGATGAAACTAAACATTAAACATCACACCATCTTTTTTTCGGAATGTTTAATATCTTTCTTTCTTTCTTTTGCCGAATAATAATCAAATAAAAAAAAACCTGTCAATCAAATAAACAAATCGATAAAAAAAATGAAAAATTTCTTCAAATCGGTTCAATTTCTTTCAATTTTTGTTTCAAAATTATAAAATTTGCAATTTGTTGTCGTACAAGTGTCGCCATCTATCAATTGTTGATCAACATTAAAAAAAACAAACATAATCAATTTTGATTTTTGTTGTAAAAATCAAACAAACAAACAAAAATTTACATTTAAAATTGCTATCTGTAGATTTTATTTTTCAATTTTCAAACAGTACAAAATTATTTATCATTATTTTAGCTAAAATAAATCTACGATGATGAATTATTTATTGTTGTTGCTGTTGTTGTTTTTGTTTTAATGAATTCATCATCATCAATAACAACTGATAATGATGAAAACAAAAACAAAAAGAAGAATTTCAACAAGGGAATGCAAATAAAACAATATTATGATAATGATTTGAAAATCTCAGGAGAAGGTTTTTTTTTTTTTGGTTTTCTAAAAAGAATCCAAGTTTGTTCCAAAAACAAATTCTTAAACTATTTTGAAAATCAAATTCAATTGAAAATTTCCTATTTATTCAATTATCTAGCCAGAATACACAACAATACATTATTCCTAATGAATTGTTGTGGTAATAATCTACAATCAACAAACATAAGAAGAAGAAGAAAATCGAAATTGAATTAAATTCTTGAAAAAAAAATTATGAAATTCGATGAAAAAACCAAAATAATTCTTCCGGAAAAAATATTTGGGAAAAGAATTGTATGGAATAGAACCATAGAGAAAAATCATTGATCTAGAAACAAGCATACAATGAAATGAATTCAAACAAACTATTGTTTACAGGAATAATGTATGTCTTGGTAAAAATGGAAAGAAGAATATAAAAAAAGAAAATATAACACGTTCATGACATTTCAGAACACAAAATTTCTCTTCTAATTTAAATAACAATGACATGTGATTCTATAGTGGTTTTTTTTTGTTAGCAATGTAAGTAAACACTAACTGCAGAATGACAAGAATTGAATGTAATGAGTTTCATATGATGATGATGATGATGATGGTAAAATAGAGAGGAGAGAAAGAGAGGGAGAGAAAATGTACAAATGAACAAATGTACAAAATTTGTACAAAATGTACAAATTTTCATTATACAAATGGAGAAAATTATCATTTAGCATCATGACATTATAATGATGATGATGATGATAATGATAATGTGATTTGATATAATATTCAATGCTTTTTTTTCTTCTCCATAGCTAATTTTTATCTTTTACTCAACTAATATTTCGAAAAATTAATTATCATCTTTTACAACTAACTGGATCCATTTGGATAATGAAAATTATTTATTAGGAAATTCTAGATAAGAATCATTGGATTCTAAATGAACATATAACATATTTAAAGATAAACCACAACAACAACAACATTGTTGATCTTAACAACCTCATCCTCCTCTTCACCACCACTATCCGAAAGAAGAATCTCGGTCACATATGATCACAACTTGTTGATCAGTAAAAGAGAAAACGAAAAAAAAACCGGTTTCTAATCTCAAAACTGTGTATAAAAAAAAAAGTTTTCAGAAAAACATACTTACCGAAATTTGCAGAAAAAAATTCAAATTTTTCGATCAAGTTTGATGATTTTCAAAATTCAACAACAACGGTGAAACAGAAATTGAATTGGATTCGACCAAACGAAAAAGAAAAGAAAAGAATCAATAATTTCTGAAGTTCATCATCATCAACAACAAACACAATATGATATTAATGAGATTTATTTGATGATCATACACACAAGAACACCATCGGTTTTAGTAATGATAATACCGATGACTTTGATGTCGAAACAATTTCTTTTTCTTCATGTGTATGTAGAGGTTTTTATGCGGTAAATATTTTCTACCATTTTCGATGTCGATGTCGATAATGATGATGATGACGAAGACGAAAGACCAAAACAACAGAAAATTTAATCAGAATGTACAAAACAAAACAAAAAATATGATAAATTTTTTTGTTTGATTCTTGATTCTTGATTCTTTATTCAAATCAAATAATTATTAATGATGTTTAATTATCATTTCAAAAAAAAGTCATTATTATTCTTTATTATTCTGGATATAAGAGAATCGCATGATTAAAATAGAGGTAGAAATAGCAAAAAAAGAAAAGAATGTAGAATGCAGAATTCGCAACAACTTTGACGCAAAAAAAGAAGATTATTTAAAAAAAAAAACGTACAAAATCATCATCTAAATAACTTGCAAAAAAAATGTACATCCAAACAAAAAAAAATATGTACATTATCATCATCCTATTTACCGTTATTCAAATGTTTTTTTTCACTTGCATCGTTCTTTCTCAATCAGGACACGAGATCAAAAAACAAAAAAACAAAAAAATGATGAAAAATGATGATGAAAATTGTGAATGAATTCTGTGTGTGTGCGTGCGAGATTCTGTCATCTGTATTTGTTGTTGTTATTTATTCTTGTTGTTTGGTAATGATGATGATGGTTGGGGATTAACACCATTAACACTATTCATGCAAAAATTCTAATTTTATCATCATCATCATCATCATTTTTGTTTCTTAAAGAATCCTATTCATATGATTATCCACGATGAAATGATAATGAAATGTTAAAAATAAAAAATACATTTTTTGTCAAAAGAATTTGAAACTTTGTTGTTGTTGTTATGAAAGATATTCAAGAGATTAATCAATCATCCGATCAATAGATCAAAATATAAAATTTCGAACCACAAAATGTCAGCCGGAATAAATTTTTTTTAGAAAGAAAAAACACTGCTGTGATTTGTCACGATTTCCATTTTGTCAATGTATGTGTGTGTGTGTGACATTGATTTGTTTGTCAATCAAACAAATGATTGACAATGTCATCATTGGATTCACATTTACAACAACCGAAAAAAAAACAAAAACAAACAAACAACAACAAAACAATCCGGATGTTTAAAAGGCTGATTGTAGTAGAAAGAAAGGAAGATTTTTTTGTTATGAAACACAGGAGAAAAACAAAAATCACAGTGTGTTTGCGGTTTGTTTGTTTGTGTGTGTGTGTGTCACCTTAAACGAAATCGAAAATTAAAAAATTGATTTGAAATTCAATTTTGGTGGTTTTTTTTGGAAAAAAAACAAGAAAAACAATGTTGTTGTTGTTGTTGTTGTTCAATCATATTCTTAATGATGGTTGAAATTGATTTTCGTTTTTTTTGTTGCTGGTAGTAGCGGTGTTTGATGATGGTAAAGAATTCATTTGCTCATTTACTTGTTGTTGGTTTTAGCATTTATCATTCACATTTTTTTTCTATTGAATTTTAATGTCGTCATTCGTATACGAGAGAGAGAGAAAACAGAAAATTATCATTGAAATTTACCATGTCGGAGAGGTTCGATGTTGTTTTCATTGAATTTAACAACAAAAAAAACGTCATCATCATCATTATCGTTGTAAGTGTTGGTAGTTTTTCTATTCATCAAAAAAGATCAAACGACGACGATGATGATGTTTTTTTTTTGTTTCTGCTTTTTCTTCTTCAGATTTCTTTCAATGTTGTTGTTGTCGTCGATGTATTTTTTTTCCTATCGATTTTTGTTTTCCTTCTAGCTTCGACCAGGTAAATTATCATCAGCATCATCAAATTTTTGTTGTTGTTGTCGTCGTTCATTAAACACATCTTCGACAGGAGGAGTTAAAACAACAACAACAAAAAAATGGTAAAAAATATGCATATGACATAGGTAAATTGATTAGCAAACATTGAGTTAGTGAATGAAAAAGAGAGACATGGATGGGGAATGTTTTTTTTTTTGAAAATTGAATTTTAAAATTTAAAAAAAAACCTGATGTCAAGACGTTTATTTTTCTGACTGAGTCGGGTAATAAGAAGAGCTTGTGACTTACCTGATTGGTGGTCCGATATATCTGCTTTTCGAATCCGATGATATAAAAATGATAACCATGTTTTTCTTTCTTCTCTCTCTCGATGTTATTTTTGCAATACCTTAAAGCGAAATTTTTACAATCATCACGTGATGATCATAATTTCGATAAAATCATTTCAAAAATGATCATCCATATCTTTACTTTTTTCCCGTGAAAACAGAATTTACAAATTCATAAACGACGTATAGGAAATGAAATTATTCATTTTAACTGGAATATATCAAACATGAAAAAATAACAACCGTTTTTTTATCAAATTGACAAAAAAATTAAATATTGAATTTTCTAAACAAAATTCATCGATTATCTTACCGATATAACGATGATTATGATTATATTTATTTATCATTAGGCAACCATCAACCAAGGACATTCTGCTTATTTCGAAGGGAGAGAGAGAGAAATAATAATCATTACATTCAAGAATTTTTAATTTATTTATTTATTTGAAAAATTGATTGATTGATTGCCTGATTGATCGATTGTAGAATGGATGGATGGATGGATGGATTGCAACCAAAACAACAACAACAGCAACAGAGAACAAGGGGTTTTTGATCGATTCGTTATTTTTTCAGAAAAAATTTTCTGCAATCAATTCAGTTTTTTTCCCTTTTTTCCTTTTTTTGTTTTGCTGTTTGGTTGTGTCCAGGCGGTTGACCATTTTGAAAAATTCAATGATTTAAAAATAAAATTTAAAAAAAAAATTGGGAAATTTTCTAAATCTTGCTAATGATGATAATGGTAATGAGGAAAAATAAAATTTGCATTCTTCTCAATGATGATGTCATCGAAAACAACAACAACAACAAAAACATTGGACAACAACAACAACAACAGGCAATTAGCATCGACACATTCCATTCGATTATTTCAATGAAGAAAGAATAAAAACAGAAATTGAATGACGTTTCTCCAGAAGAAAAAAATATATATATTTTCACTGCCCTACCAATGTTGATAATAAATGATGATCACCAAGCAAAGCATTGATTGATTAAGAAAATATTGATTATTTTTTTGTTCAAATTATGAATTGTTATTCATTTATGAAATATGATCATCAACGAATACAACGATCGATGGATTGAAAAACATACACACACACTGTTGGAAAAGCCCAAATTTTCATAAAAAAAGATTATAATTTAAAATGTCAAAAAAATTTTCATTTATCAATCGATTTTTGATTTTTATTTAATTACCAACAACAACAATGATGATGATGATGATGATGATGATGATGATGATGATGATGACGATGATGATGATGATGATGATGATGACGATGATAATCGATTGATTGATTGATTTACCAATGGTCAAACTGTTGTTGCCGGTTCATTTACATGGATGTTTTATCAACAACAACAAAAATTGATGAAACAAGGAAACAAGGAAATTATTTACCTTTTTTTTCTTGGAAAATTGTTATAATGTTATTTTTTCAAGTTTCGATTGAATTATATGAAAATTTCAAGGTGATGATGATTATGATTGATGTTTGCATCACAGACAAACATAGGAGAATCATGTAAAGGAAGGAAATCAACCGGAAATTTTTCGAGACAATATTCCGGTTTGGAAAAAAATTCCTTGGAAATTTTCTTTGTTGACAAACAAAGTTTCGTTAATATTATCTTGATGGAAACAAAATCTTGATGATGATGCAATATTCGATATTGATAAGAAATGGATTTTTGTATAATGAAAAAAAAAATGTTGTTTCAAAAGTAAAGTAATAGTAATCCTAGAATTACATTAATTACCCATGCAAATTTACAAAGTTTGTATACGGTGTATTGACATTTTACAAATTCTATAGTTTGTATATAAAAAAAAAGTTTTGAATTAAAAAACAAAAAAAAAAGTTTTCATCGATTTTATTCCTATAGTTTGATACTGAAATTAAAATTTTTGGATCAATGAAAATCGCGATGGTACATGGTAATTAATGTGCCCGGTGCAACTTTGTCGGAAAAAAAAGTAGAACAAAAAAAAAAGGATCGAATGTATCAAAGATACCGAAGATTATATTCGATAAAAAAACAAAATACATAGATAAATAAAGTGTGATGATCATCAGTGTCAAATTTAAATGAAAGAATAAAATAACAACGAAACAAAACAAAAACCTTGAGCATTTGAAAACTTTTACTGTTTTTGGCTATTTATTTTCAAATTTGTTGCTGCTGTTGTATAATCCTTTTTTACAACTTTTTATTATCATATGATGATGATTGTAAAATAAAGAATCGAATCTTTGACTTTTTTTATTATTTCAACAAATGAAAATTAACACACCGTTGTTTTTTTTCATCTTTAATTACTAATTAGTAAACAAAACAAAAAAACACATTTTTGTAACATAATTAAATCCATATTATTTATTTATTTATTTTTTTAATTAAATTGGTTTAATTAAGAAGAATTTTATTCATTGGTTGCTATCTTGCGAAATCATTCGAATTTTACCTTTACAAAAAAAAAAGATTCGATTCGATTCAGACTGCCATCTATGAGCGAATTTTTGGTTTTCAAAAAAAAAAATTGTTTATTTTTACTTTTAATTTATAAATTTTGTCAATTTTAATTTCTAATCAAAAAAAAAGAAACATTTACAATTTTGATGGAAAGACAAGAATTTTTATAATGATGATGGTGTTTGGATTAGTAATTTAAAAAAAAATACAAAAATATGTTGTATTAAGATTAATCATTTATCTTTGATTGCTGGTCGTATAATTGATAATGAATTTAATAAATAATTATAAGTTTCCATATCGAATGATAATGCTGATTGTATTGGTTCTTTGTCATTTGGAATTTTCATCATTTCAGTTGATGATTGTTGTTGTTGTTGTTGATATGTATCATGGTCATCAATAAAATTTTCATCATCACCATTATCATCAGTTGATGAACGTTCTTTGGTTATAATAAGTGGTTCAACACCATTACCACCACAATTATCATCTTGATTATCGATTATAGCACGTGATTGTCTTGCTAAAAATGCTAAATTAAATATATTTTCAATTGTTGTTGCAAAATCATTTGGATGTAATAATGCCTGAAAAAATGGTACACCATTTTCATTTTTTCTTTCCAATTTTTTCAATGATTTATAAATATGTTTTAAACGTTTATCCGATTTATCAACATTATTCATTTCGTTTGATTGTTTTTGTTCGGGTTGTGTTGCTTCACCTGTCGGTAATTTATGTCTTGTTTGTGTATTTCGTTGTTTAACATTTGTTGTTAAATTTTCATCATCAAAATCATTTGAAAATGATGGTATTATAGCCGGTGTTAGATGATGAATATGATTAAATTGTTTGCCAGTTGGATATAGATGAACTAATTGTAATTGTTTAGTCGGATCGATTGAATTCGAAATTGTTTGACAATTACGTAATAAACGCAAACGTAATGCACGACGATAATCATGTTTATTAAATTTTTTAACAACGGTAATTTTTTTCACAACATTAATAGTTTGTTCAGAAACAGCGGCCATATTTTTTGCATCCATTGATAATAATTCATTGATACCGAATTTTGATAAACAATTATCCTCTTCTTGTAAACATGATTTTAATTTTTTTACTATATTTTTATCATTTTTATCCGTATTAATAGAACGAATTTCATTGAATACTTTTCCATATGCAGCTTTAGCTTTACGTCGTGTTTCAGCATCTAAACTTTTTGTTTGAATCGATGGTAATTGTGATTGTTTTGCTTGTGAATCTTGTTGACCAATAGGTTCATCAAAATCAATTTGTTGATTGTTTGAATTTTCGGATGATTCCATTTTTTGTTTGCAGATTGAATTGTTTGATATAATCAAACGAATAATGAAGAGGATTTATCCTTTTTCGGTGAAAAAAAATGTAGAATTTTTAGCGGCAATCAAAAAAACACATCACACATTTCCAACAAACACATTTCAGGATTTTGTGAAAGAATCGCAATACGTACTTGATGACGGGAGCTAAAATTTTTTGATTTTTTATTTTTTACTTTCACTTTTTTTTTTATTTGGCGCGAGTAAAAACAAACTTAAATTTTAAAAAATTATGAATTAATCTTGGCCAATTTGATTTCGATCATAAAGGTTTTTTCCATTTTTTTTCTTTGTTGGAATGACTTTTCACAAGATAAACATTCGAATCAATAATTGCTGTTGTTGAATGCTTTCGGACCACTCAAGATTGATGATAATTTTTCGATTAGATGTAACGATGATCACCTTGGTGATAATGGTATTTTTTTTAAATTATTAATAACAGTATTGTTATGTATAAACAGGTCATTATCAATAGTAAATTTTTAAAAAATTCCACCATGAAATACATGAATTAATATTAGAATAAATATTATTAAAAATGTAACAATAGTCATCAGAAACCATGAAAGACAATTGTCGAGTATATTCATTTTGTTTTCGATTATTATTAGTAATTTGCGATCAGAAACAAAAAATGATACAATTTTTGAACATTGAAATAATGATGATCATCATCATGGTTTTGTGATCATCATTATATACACAAGTGTTACATGTGAACCTATGCTGCAATAAAAAACGAAAAGAACAAGGTTGACAACCGACAAATGCATAAAAAGATTGTGAAATCATCATCAATATGTTACTAAATCCCAAAAAAAAGAATGTGGTTACAAATGATGCACGAGCACGTTTTTTTTACAGATTAGTATAATCCAAATATATTTTAGATATAGAAAAAAGATAACAAACAAACAGCAAAAGTAATCAATATTTTTTTGATCCAAAGTAATCTTTGATTAATCTTTTGTTTTACAAATACATTCTTTGATTTTGTAAAAAAAAAATCTAGGAATTATAAAAATTTTTGCCTCTTTTTTTTGTTGTTATTGCATTTTTTGGGTACATCTGTAACTGTGTGCCAATTTTGTTTCTATTACAAATCATTTTTTTTTTTTTTTTTTTTCAAAAACTTTTTTCGAAATTTCTATAGGAATTTTTCATTTTTTTTTAAAAAAAGTTATC